GGATGATGGTGCTCCAGGGATACAACATTGAGGTCAAGTATGGTCAGAACACCAAGCTAGCGCTAGGACAAGGGCTAGCAGGCTGCCAGCAATGTGACTCTGACTCCGTCATGGGCCCCCTGGACACACCTGCCGCAGTCTACCCAACCGCATACAATCATCGCTACTTTGATGAGAATGTTTGCCAAGGGCTTCCGAAAGTTTACACTGACGGATGTGCCTACCTTCACGAAGGCCAGCTCCGTGCCAGGGTTGGAGTCGTTTGGGTGGACTGTGACACTAAGCAACCAAATCACTACCGGTTGGGCCAAAAGTCTAGTCAGTACGCCGAAATTGCTGGAGTGTTGATAACCCTCCAGCAGGCGGCAGCCTTGGACATCACTCAAATCGTCCTTTGCTCAGATTCAAACTACGCTAGACACAGCTTCATTTCTCACTTCCCCATGTGGAAGGAGAACCACATGAAAAACGCCAGGAACAGAGATGTGAAACACTCTGAGTTAGTCCTAGCGTGTGATCTGCTCACCACTGAGAAAGGCATAATGGTCTACTGGAAAAAGGTCAAAGGTCACTCCAGGACCCTAGGTCCGGAGAAAGATGGTAATGACAAAGCAGACCGCCTTGCTAAACTCGGTGCTGACCAGGGAACCTGCTGGGAATTCAAAGACGAGTGGCTTCCACCCAAGGCCATTCACGAGGTCTGCGCGATTACTCGTCGACATGCTAAACAGGCAGACAAACCTCGGACCGTTGGGGTACCCGTGTTTCTAGGCAGACAACCACAGGACGCGGACCTAGTCACCATGCAGGAACAAGATCCTGACCTGAAGCTCATCCGCGAGCTTCTCCAAAAGGGCCCGATGTCTAAACAACCATCACCACCTACTGGCGCAAGCCGAGATTTGGTAAACCTGCATCGTCAACTCGCGCACCTGAAACTACAAAACGATTTGTTAGTTTACATGCGTGACGATCACAGCCCACCGCGCTGGGTTGTTCCACTCGACCACAGAGGAGTGATGCTTGCCTACGCCCACGACACTCCGGTTGGAGGTCACCGCGGAGCAAAAGCTACCCTCGCGTCACTGACAGAAGTAGCATATTGGCCATCGATGTCCAAGGACGTACACAGCTATGTCCAAGGCTGCCTCATCTGTGCCCAGTTTCAACCCTCCCAGCCGCTTGCTAGAGCACCACTGCAACGCAGGGGAATAACCTTCCCTTGTTCCCACCTGCAGATCGACTGGGTTGGACCAATTCCCAAATCGGCAAGAGGAAACAAATATATGCTAACTGTAACTTGCAGTTTCACAAAGTGGGTGGAGTGCCTTCCAGCGCCAAACGATACAGCCGTCACAACCGCTGTACTGCTGATTAATCACGTTTTCAGTCGATGGGGACTTCCACTCTGCATTGACTCTGACCGGGGAACTCATTTCACATCCAGTGTAATGACGTCCCTGTTTGAACTTCTGGGAGTGGAAGTGAGATTCCACCTCCCCTATCACCCACAGTCATCCGGACAGGTCGAACGGATGAACCGCACGGTCGTCTCCATGCTCAAAAAGTACGTCTGCTCCACTGGGAAGGACTGGGACGTCAAGCTCCCTCTGGTCCTGATGGCCATACGGTCCACTCCACAGCGATCCACGGGGGTTACGCCCTTTGAGATGATGACCGGCAGACTGATGACTCTACCACTGCACCTCCTGTATCACCCAGAGGATGTCAGTGTTGCCACTGCCTATACCGCTCATCAGTATGTGGCAGACTTGAAAACACACCTTAGAGCTACGTTCGCGCACGCTCAGGAGAAACTGGAGACCAACGTAGAAGGCGCTAAAGCCTACTACGACCAAAAGACAACCAGCCGCGAATACGAGGTGGGTGACAAAGTATTCTACTTTCGGTTCGCCCAACCGGCACGCAAAGCTAAGAAGTTCCTGCCCTGCTGGTCAGGACCATTTGAGATCGTGGCAAAACTCTCTCCAGTTGCATACAGGTTACGCATCACCAAAGCGAGACAGGAGCCTGTCTACAAATGGGTGCATGCAAACCAAATCAAACCCTACGTCAAACCATCCCCGCCGGTACAGAGACCAGACTCCCCGCAGGAGGTAGACGTAGTCTCTACATAGTTCTATGCATGGAAATGGAAAGGGGGGGAAGTGCACGTTTAACCCAATAACATGTACTAACCGACAAAGAACCAGCCCCCCCCCCCCCCCCACCCCCCACCCCCCACCCCCGCCGTCACTTTCACTAACCAAGAGAAACTCCTCCTAGAACGCTAACAGGAAGTACTTACTAAAACCTTACAGGGTACTCTGGTACCTACACTAGGCTCTGATTAATGAATCTCTACGTGCAATCAAGACTTTGTCTGAAACCATACCTCAGGATATTGTGTACACACGAGTGGTGAGAGATTTGATGCAGGACCTGCTCAGGGAAGTAAGTTCCACGCTGGACAGCTTGGTTGAAAGTCGTATTTCCCCGTACTTGGTACCACTGGACCTGCTCAAAGATAGCTTGACAGCTGCTACCCCTCTACTGTGCACCTTTCACAAATCCACCTAGCGTACAGCCTAGGTAGTGCAATGCCCATTCACGTTGGAAAAAAAATAGAACTCGGTTTCCTGTTAAACGTTCCCATAATTGTGACACCTCACATCTATAGGTTTAGGTCGATGCTGAACATTGGTATTTGAAAGGACGGTAGGCATTTCCACTTTGAACTAGAAACCTGACACTCCATCACCTCAACCTCGAACAGCATGACTCAGAGATTGAGATCATGGACGCTTTCCAGGGTTATAACTTTGCCTTCGATTTAGAAATTGACCAACAATTACTGATTGAAGGAACCAAATTTGTTAAGTTCACACAAACCCCGCGTGAACTTACTTTGACGCCCAAGACGCTACATTGACACAGATTATACGACTTTAATCTGCACATTGGTCGCCCTGGGGATGGGATGGCTCATCACGGCCGTGATAGCTTATTCTGCCTACAGGCGTGTTAAGAAACTCCAAGATAAGATGCACTTGCTCACCTACGGTGTGCCTCGTGACCGCGTTCGGGGAGACTCCAAGCGTGAATGTACCACACCTGTCTAAAGGGGGTGAGCAACATTTTCTTGTTATTCTGTAACCCTAAGAGTAGTTCTCATTTTAGTCTACCTCACATATTTATCTGAGTGTTGCAGTATGTCACATTCTTTATAAGCTACACACTGAATGTATGACCTAAGAATGTATTTTATGAGACCTCAAGGTTGCTATGAATTTTGTTGGATGTTATATGTTATATGTCTTTTTTTGGGTTTTCTGTATTTTTTGTTTCTTACTTGGTCACATATTAACTAGTGGTTATGTGCCGGCCCAGCTCAGTCTGTCAATGACTCTGTCTGACGCACCAGCACATTGTAGTACCTCTTAGTTTTATGGTCCTTGTTTTGGCCCAAAGACTGTCCTGATCCACCCTTTGGACCAAAAAGGGGGGAATCTTGGGACCACATAGGTCAATGCGCGTTTGCGAACTATGGACCTCGTACATCACCGCGTGCTCCATAAACTGAACTGTATTACCGGCGGTGAGATGCCTTTGTGTCCCCTCGTGGAGTTAACCGCCCACCGACCTTCCTCCTTCTACACTACTACCTCTCGCATGGACGACATCATCATTGCGTACCACCTGCGTGAGTGGCTTCTTCTCGTTATGCGCGTTGGGGACTATCCCGTTTCCTATCCTCTTTGTGCCTGACCAGGATCAAAGACCAAAGGCGCCAGGATCCAAGACAAAGACCAAAGACAAAGGCGTCCAAGGAGACCAACGTCTTAAGGGACAAACCCACCTGTGCTTCCGACAATCAAGTCGACCTACGTTCATGAGGAACAAACCCATCTGTGCTTCCGACGATCGAGCTTTGGGCGCGATCCCCGAAACCAAAAGGGGGAATGTTGAGGGTCTGACCTCATGAGGAAATTACTATGCAGTGATTTTCTCCAAAATGACTGTGCTTAAATTGCTCTGAAAAGCAAATAATCACATCAGCGCCAAGAAACTTCATTTCCCATGATGCTTTGCACACGGAAGCATTGGGATGATGTCACCGCCTAATACCAGAAACACGTTCTGCGCACGTGCGGGAGGCCGTGAAGCTTTTCCCGCAAACTAAGACCATAAATCTTCAGCAGAGACAAAGAAACCTCGTTCTTTTGCCCAGGATACCTGGCGGTAAGGACACGCTTGTCGAACGCTCCGACAACTTGAGCACGCGGAAGCTCTAAGTGCCCAAGTTGAGCCACGAAACCGCTACAAAGCCACTCGAACTCCATCAGGACCTGACTGGGAACGAGCGGAGCTCCATCCAGCTCTCAGAGACGCTGTAAGTTGTCAAACTCAGCACAAAAGAAACTTCGTTCTCTTTGTGTCCAGCCCGTGGAGAAACACTCGTGGAGGTAAACAACGGAGAAAGCATCAAACCGACGGATGACGCCAAACTGCGGAGAAACACGGAGAACCGTCAAATCAAAACAGTGAGGGACGCTTCACTGTTCTGGTGATCAGAAAACTCATTTCTCTCTCTCCTTTTCTTCTCCCGTTTCCTCTATAGTCCAGAATAAGCAATAAAACCGCGCTATTGCTTAAAAGTAGCTTCGTGTCTTCCTCTTTTGCTCCCAAAACACGTCCGCCGGGTCATTTTGAATAAATAAACTGCTTATTGATCATTGTTTGGTATCTTTAAATGTTTTCTGCTTGGCCACGTGGTTAAACTAAAAGATATTATTCGTGATTAATCCTTTGTGTTGTTTCATGATCCTTTGAAATGTTTTGAGTGATTTAAGGTTAAGTTACTGATGATTCTAAGTGCCTTGGAAGTTAAAGTGCAAGTTGCCACTCACACTTTAGCCAGACAAAGGGGTCAGCCATCTTGCATACAGACTCCATTTTAGAAACACACACACATACATACACACAAAACACCTTGAACATTATTTTGAATATACATCCTTTTATTATATCACATGGTTATTATTCATCTATGCCACTGTTTATTCATTTGACAAATTGTTAATTAAACGTTATAAAATTCAGATTTTCGTCTCCAGTAGCTTTGTTGTGTCGAAGAGAAGTCTCTGCTCCAAGGATTCTACGAACTTCAAGAAAGACTGATAAGAGTTTTGGATTCAATTTTTCCCCGGTTAAAGGGGAATGGTGCCCCGTATATCTAAGAATATCTTAATTAATTAATAAATCAGTAAATATTCCCATATTTACAGAATTTATTGAAGAATCCAAAAGTAAGTTAAAGCTTACGAATTGTTCGCTCCTAATAACCCCAACAACGCTACAACACAATGGCTTTTATTAGACAGACCATTACCACAATATTACTACCAAGCAACGTGGAACGAATGTCGCAAAATTTGTGCAACACCATGCCGGCATGGCGTATTTATAAGACACACCATTGCGGTAATACTACACCAATTTGATGGCATGGTGTGTCTTGTACAAAGGGGTTAAGTGAGCTACAGCTCCTATGATGAGGTGCTTTGCTTGTTTCAACGAGAACACAAAGATTCGCCAATGAATCTGAGGAGGGACCAGCAACTCACAGAGCAGTCAGTGACGCAAGTTAAAACAATTAAAACCCCTTTGTTCCGGGGGGTTCGGGCAATTTTGTCCTTGAGACAGGGTGCGTCTCTGCTTTTTATGTCTGCCATCCCAGCTGCTCTTCACTCTTCTTCTTTAGTTTAAGTGGCAGGTGGCATCCAACTTAAGGTGCATTTCTGCCACCTACTGTGTAGGAGTGTAAGTCAGAGTGAGGAACACTAAAAAAAACTATATTCTTTTAACTAAACTACTTTTCCTAAGGAATGCCAACACTAAGTTATAAATTCTGTGATCTCCATTTAACAAAGTCCTTAAACTCAATTCTCCATATGCTCTAACTTTTAATTTTTCTTATAACATTTTTCTATACACCACATATTTACTACAATAACATAAAACATGCTCTACAGTTTCCCTATCTTTTCCACATTCATATAAACCTGTAGGATGTTTCCCTATCAAATGCTACTCAAGTGCTATTCATACCTGTGTGTCCCATCCTTAACCTTGACGTTATTTTTTCCCTATTATTAAGTTCCATAATTTTCATCACACCCACATTTACCTGAATATTAAATAAATGCCTTCCCTTTTCTTCCCTCACCCACATTCCCTGCCATTCATTCATCATCTGTTTCCTGATCATCACCTTCACTTCTTTGACAATATGGAATTTCTTCCCATGTGTTAAATTTTGTTGCTTGTTTTGCATAAAAATTTGCCATTTCATTTCCCTCAACCCCTCTGTGTGCTGGAACCCACATAAATCTAATTTCTGTTTCTAATCTATTCAGTCTAAATAAACATTAAATACTTCTAAAGGAATATCTGGTCTGCTATCAGTTTACAATGGCTTAATTGACATTAGGGCTGAAAGAGAATCTGTACATATAATACACTTTTTAATTATATTCTGTTCAATCCAGCGTAAGCTAAATGAGATTGCTAACACCGTGAAAACTGATAAACTATTAGACGTTCTGAATTTTATACACTTTTCCAAAACTGGAATACAAAAAGAGAAACCTGTGCCCTCATTTCCTGAGTCTTTTGAGCCATCTGTAAATATTGGAATAAATGTTTTATGAATACTATCCAATCTATCAACAATATTGTCCCAATTTCCTTTACCTTTGTTCTGCTCCATTTTAATCTTAATATGAAAATCAATATTAAAATGAGGAAAAATCCACTTTGGAGTAACTGAATATAAACATTTCTTTACAAAAGTTATATCATTCAATTTAAATATTTCAGCTAATCTATTTGCTTTCTCAATCACACTCTCATACTTTTCATTTCCATTTTCCCAACATAAAAACACATCTTTCTTCACCAAATGTTGTTCCTCTGTACATCCCTGTAGGCTAGTCCAATAATTTAACAAAATCTGCTTAAATCTCAAACATATCGGCATTTCTCCCATTTCCACTTGTAAAGATGCTACTGGTGTTGATTTTATTGCTCCACTACATATTCTTAAAGCCTGATTTTGTATACTCTCTATCCTTTTTAATAAAGTCTTAGAAGATGAACCATACATAATACTACCATAATCTATCACTGACCTAATCATGGATATGTAAATCTGCTTCAATGCCTGTGCACTATAACCCCAGTCAGTTCCTTTTAAACATCTCATTATATTAATTACTTTTCTACATCTTTCTTCAATGTTACTGATATTCTCCTTCCAAGTTAATCTAGTATCAAAAATAACTCCCAAATAGTTAAAACTCTTTACTTGTTCTAAATTTTCTCCATACCATTTAAGATTAACCACCACATTCATCTTTTTTGTAAAAATCATACTTTTAGTCTGTCAATTCAATTCAATTCAAAGATACTTTATTAATCCCAGAGGGAAATTAGAGTTTCAGTGCACACAATTCTGAGATCAGACGTACATACATAGGCATAGATGCATGACAAGAATTGGTGACTGTGGTCATTCACAACCCGAGTCGCGCTACCTTAATAGAGATCAGAGGGTTACATGAGGATTGAGTCAGGTGGAGGAAAAAAAGGCACTTCAGAGTTACCCTCCATAGGGAGGGCAGCTTTGCTATGCAAAAAAACACCTCAAACAGAAATGCAACAGACTTCAGACATCACACAACGTAAGTGTCCACTAGGTGGGGAGGTAGGGTTGGGGACTCTCCACACATCAGTGCATGCAGCCATGATAAGCAGTGCTCGTCACTCCCGTTTGGACCAAATTTCCACCTTCCATATTGCTTCTTGCAACTTCTTCTGTAAATGTTGAATGTTTCTTCTCCTTTTCCATATGGCTCCATCATCTGCAAAAAATGCTTTTCCAAAGTCATAACCTATATTTTCCAAAGTATCATTTATTATTATATAAAAAATTGCTGGGCTAATTATACTTCCTTGAGGTGTCCCATTCTTGACTAGATACCTATTTGACATTGTATTCCCCACCTTCACTTGAATATATCTATTAAATAAATTCTTTATCCACTCATACATTCTACCATTAAGTCCTAATCTGTTTAGTTTTATTAATAATCCCTCTTTCCAAACCATATCATATGCTTTTTCAAGATAAAAAAATACAACTACTAAACTTTCTTTATTAGATTGTGCTTTTCTAATTTCATTTTCAAGATAAACCAATGGATCCATTGTCTCTGGCTCTCCCTCCTCAGCTCTTTCAGAGCACTCACATTAACCAGCTACACCTGTGGGAGTCTCACACCTGCAGGGCTAATTGTGGTCACCCCCCTGCTCAGTTCAGCGATTGTCCCAATGTCTCTGGGGAGCTCCACAGAGGGAAAAAAAGAATGCCTCAAACAACACATGCAAAACCAATGCTAATCACAAAACCATGCAAGGAAAAGAAAATACAACGAATCATGTACAAATACAAACATGTCCCACTGTGTGACACTTGGACTGAATCATTTGTCTATAGCCGTTACAAAATGACTAATTTGCCAAGAAAAGCTGGTTGGAGATGGTACTGAGTCCTGGTCCCGGAGGGCCGGTATCCAGCAGGTTTTTTGGTTTTTCTGCTCCAACAGACTTGATGCAGTGGTTGAAACTCCAGTGCAGTAGCTCATCAAGCTCTGCAGAAGCCTGTTAATTAGCTGCTGATTGAAATCAGGTGTGTTGAAATAGAGTTCAAACCAAAACATGCAGGATACTGGCCCTCCAGGACCAGGATTGGGTGACATGGCCTATGATTCTGTCTAGGGTGGGACATGAACTCCTTGTGACTCTCCTCCACAGGCAGTTTCTCAGCAATTCACAACTGGAGATGTGATCAAAACAACTTGTGTAGTTATAATACTCATAAGTGTGACTACACCTGATTGCCCAGTGGCATTTCAGTAGTGGCTCATCATCATCATCCTTCATTATTGCTCTCTCAGGATGTGAAACACAAAACTGTGTCTGAGCTAAAGAGATGATGCGTGAAAAAAATCTAAAGGTCAGTGGTATCATTTTCTGTCCCTGTAACATGGAGCAGCCTGTGTTTATACCGGTAACCTCAAGAAAAGAGTAAAAATATCACTTTTGGGTATTGTGGATAAAGAGAGCACAGCTTCCAATGTACTGAATAGTAGGGCTGAGCAATATGAACCAAAGAATGAAGAAAGGACTCTCTCCTTTCAATAAATCACAGAACTCTATTTTAATAAAGCTAATCAAACAAAGTGTTAGTCAATAATAAGATGTGACCAATCTGTGAAATCAAAATATTAATTACTTTATGATAATCCTATAGAATATAATGAGTAATATGACTTTAAATGTTTCCAATAGGACTGATCTCATGTAGCGTTTAGAGACGACACATTGCTTTACTGATCCAATCAGAATCTGCCAGATCAGACGGAGGCGTGGTTTTGGTGGTGCTTGGTAAATCTGTTTCAAACGAGCAACAACACGGCAATTTCCAGGTGCATCCCAGAAGAAGCACACTGCACTGTGCTGCGTCGCGCTGCGCCACAAAAGATAGAATCGGGTTCTATTTTTGCTGCATGCAGCTTCTGGCACACGCCAATTTCCGCAGTTAACAAAGGGCTAGACAGGAAATCACACAATGTTTCAGTGTATAATCCCCGGTAATTTTCAAAATAAAGGTACTGCAGCAATGCAATTTCACATATATGAAGCTTACATGTGGCCTAATGGCTTATTCACTCCCAGCATTGCTCCAGAGCTGCAGCAGTGTGTTTTTCTTGGCTTTAATCCTGGCCGTGAAGAGGAACAACATCAAATATGACATCAAACAGCGATATCAAACGTGATTTTCTTCTTTTTGGTTTAATGGCGGATTGCATAAACAAACCGTGACCTGACACGAAGGGCACAGCGAGTAAACCGTTCTTCTGCCGTTTCGCGCCACTGATGCTTCCAGTGTGAAACTGGCTTTAGACTCTCCCTTTGGTAGTACCCAAAGTGAGTAATCATCCGGCGTCTTGGTGTCATCTGCCAGCTCCGTAAATAGGCCGTCCTTGCTGATTAGAAACTGCTGCCCCTGCTCAGCACTGCTCATCTGCATTCAAGCTCAAAGGTCATCAGATGACGGCCACTCACCTCAGGTCTTGACAGCCATGTTTATTGTGTCATGTCTTGTCTTGTCCCCTCTGTGTCTGTTTCTTGTTGCCTGTGTGTCACCACAGCCCGTCTTCCCTTTTCCTGCTGTCAGACCACAGTAGTCCTATGGCGTCTCATGTCCCATTTCCCCTTTAGCCACGCTCGTCATCTCGTGTATTTAGTTTTTGCGCCACACTGGTCCATTAGCTTTTTGGTTTTATGTTTAAGCAATGTGTTCCTTCCAGTACCCACTGATTTTAGTTTACACAAGCTTTTGAGTTAGTTCCATAATTGTTTGGTTTATTCTTTGTTTTTACTCCTGTTTGGTCAGTGTAACTCCCTCCAAGTTGAGTCACGGACACGAGGCGTTCTTCGTTAAATGGCATTCATTAACACATTCGTGCCATCAACCATGCCATGGGAACTGTACAAATTATCACAAATATTCAGTTTAATAACAAATACATTCTCATAGAGAAGAAAAAATAAACAAACATTTAAGAACGTAAAATGACTTACTAACTCCAAAAATTGGCTTCAGAACATTTCCCAAAACAACGATGGTTAACAATACTAATTATGTCTAATTAGCAACTCATCAGCATAAAACATATGAAAATGGCATAAAACAGAAACAAGTTTGTACTGAATGAAACTTCACATTAAACCATGTTGAAAAGAAAAGGATCCGATTAAATCGTATTTCCCTCATTTACAGTCACGAAGTACAGCGCAGTGCGCGTGGCTCTGGGGTTAATCAAGTTTAATTGTTTCTCTTTGCAAAAATCTTCACAAGAAGGCAAAACAGTTAAATGGCAGGTTACAGATATTTCCATTTGACTGTTTATTTTGACGGATAAACTCAAGGATGTTGTTGTTTTGAAAGAATTACCCCGACGCACACTGATGCGCTCATAGATGAGCTGACATTTTAATTGTTACGCACATCGCGGATGGAACTAAATCAATCAAGAAATGATTCCCATCAGAACATCAGAGCTTTATACTGGACACTGTGCTCAGTGCGGATCGGAGCGCACACGGTGGACGGTGAGCTGAAGATCTGTAGAGGGGTTCGCAGCGCAGTGCAGAACCACGGCGCATGCGGTAAGATTTCCTCCCACTGAAGCGGTCTGGAAACCCCGTCTCTCTGTGAGATGTGTCACTTGGAAAAATGTTCTCTGATTATGAAACTTTGGCTGAATAGCGCTTGTTCCCGTCTTTAATGTGGAGACGCATGACGCATCCAGTCTGAGGCAGAATAGTCTCTTCAGCTCAGAAAGTACCTCTAGAGACATTTGATCACACACACAGTTTATGTGGAGCAGAACCGGTCGGGCCACGGCAGGAGGACTGTTCCTAGCCTACATGAAGTGAAATTGTTTAATTGCAATATTAATATGTTACTGGACACGCTGGTTTGGTTGGTTAGACCAGTGTTTGAAGTGGAAAACACACACACACACACACCAATTACAATAATGCTGATAGCGTGGACTAGAAGCCAGGTGATGGTTTACGTATTTAAATGATGATCAGGTTGCTGTAACATGTAATCTCCATCCACATTCAGACAGAATTATCCTCTATTCTTTCTCTATTTGCTCTGCTCTTGTCTGGGCTGACGTAGCTGATGGTGCGCACAGCACGCCTAGCAGCTATGATGCACATTTTACTCATTTGGAGAGGTGGGCTAGATGCTGTGCTTTTACTGGAAGATGGATTTTTTTTTTCCAAAAATGTCGGAGATTTTGCCCCATGAACAACCGTAAAAACTACTGGTGAGCATATACCCTTATGAGAGAGTCCTACGTTGAGAGGTAAATATTAGAATTGCAGGTAATGCATTCTGGTGCCTATAATTGAAAAATGAATGAAAATTAAATTGAGAGTTTTTACTTCATATTTTAGAAATAAAAATGACGGGGGAAAAAATTTATGACGTCTTTTTAAACAAAATTTTCTAGCGCGACCTGCCTGCTTCACTTAAGTCACTGCTTATTACGGTCCATCCAAAATTACTGTGGCCCACCCAAAGATGAAAACCTGGTGCCGTGCCTGTTATAAACTTCTGCACATTTTTGTTCTTCACTTTATCAAACTCAAAGTTTGTACAGCTAAAGTCAAGATGTAAAATCATGAAATCAGTCGAGCTCTTCCGTCCCTCTCCTGTTTCTCCTTGAAACCCGACAGCCGATGTCGGGTTTAAGGAGAAACAGGAGAGGGAGGGGAAGAAGGAGATGAGGCAAACAGAGTGAGTGCGAGAAACCAGACTGGTGTGGAGGTGAGCAAAACGGCTGGAAAAGTGTGGGTGTTGAACGATCTCAATAAGAAAAGTGTTGAATCCTTTCAATAAATCACAGAAAAAAAGTGTTGAATCCCCCACATCCCCCACGGTTGCGACGCCCATGTGCTCATGCCTCTCAGCCATTACAGATACGGTACAGTAACTTGACATTTAGATGCATTCTCAGCACTTCCATGCTGTTATTTTTTTATTTGTCATGCCACTAATGTTCTGTGGTAAAACTATTTCTGTTTGCTCATTTATTTTATATATTTCCATGACGTGCACATGATGCTCAGCTGGGTTTGAGTAAAGCACCTGAGTGAAGCGTTTCCAGATTACCAGTAATCACCACTCTCTGGCTTGCCTCTCTCTGTTCATCACTCCCTCTCGTAATTTTCTCTCTTTTGTGGTTCCAGCCAACATCATGGACAGATCCTCTCATTAGTATGCAATGCTAATTAACAAGCTCCAGAATCCATCTGCTTGGTGGAGACTCCTCAGTGGTGTCAAAGGTTCTGGTTAGCACAGAGTGAAGCTTCCAGAAATATGCTGATCTATCAGCTCCATCTCGATTAGTCACGAGCCCTCCAGACTATTTTCTTTGTTGAAAGTTACCGAAAGGGCATCGAAGTAGCGGGTGTTTTCTGCCCTAACGTTTTCAAAAGTAGGTGACTAGGAAAGAAACGACATTATACACAGAAGTGTAATTGCACTACTTGGTACCAGATTAGCACTAAAAGCCCGAGCTTGGCTTTGTGTATGAAAATAGGCTGTTTTTATTATGTAGCTGGGAATTACTGCATCATGCCTACTCACTACAGGCTTTGATTAGTTTACATATGCCTCTGTGGTTGTGAAGAGGTGAAATCCTACATTTAAGTAGTAGTGCATAATGCAAATTCGAACAACAATTTATAAAAACTAGTTTATATGGTGAAAATGGTGATCAGACTGCATTGGTATAGCACTTGGTCTATTCCATGGACTCCAAAGTGCTTTAAAACCAGACATTCACAGACATGCCAGACATGGGGATCCCAAAATCTTCCTGGAGAAATTCTTTCAGTCATGATCCAAATCTCATGATGTTATGATCACCAGTTTCTACATGCTCCTGTTCCTGCTCCACTTCCCTGCAGAGAGGAGCAGCCCCTCCTATGCTCCTGCTCCTCCATCCCACCTTCCAGCTGCGCTCAATCCCTAATCAGCTTCTGAGCTTTTAAAAAGGTGCAGCCAGAAGAACCAGGGAGCAGAAAGAGTGGGGAATATCTTGAGAGTGAATGAAATCCAGATACACCTAGCTTTGAACCTAGTGTAATTTCATTGAGTTTGTTTTGCTCTGAGTTCTGTGGAACTTTTGGAGATTGCGCTCAATAGAGGTAGGAAATTGGTTAGTTTGAACCAACTTCCTGTGCTTGCTCAGTGGAGCATTTGTAGAGGTTAAGTTAACCTGTTAGCTGTGTGTGTTCAGTGGAGCATAAGTATTGCTTTTGGTGTGTTTGCTCAAAAGCGCTTTGATTTAGTAATTATTACTGTTTTGTTTCCATTACCTTAACAGCCCTGTGCTCGCCCTTAGTTGGTTTGGACTTAATCGGTTTTCTTTCTACTTTAGCCCAAAAAGGGGAATAGCTGAATTTGTGAGTCTACTCTGACTTATTGGTTTATTATATTAGTGGAGCTGAGCTCCAGCTTGCGTGTTCTCTCAAGTCCTTGTTTTTTCCCCTCTTTAGGAGGTCACCTTTAGATCTTGTATTTAACTGACCTAGTAACCTTACACGAGTTTGGCCATTTATTCGTTATAAAATCGTTTGCTTTTAAAATCCTGACCCCGCGCCTTTTTATGTTACGACGTCCTTCACCAATACCAGTCGTAACATTAATGGGGGCTCGTCCGGGATCTTTCTTTTTATGATCGAAGTTAACCCTGAAGGACCTTTTTATAGCACTCATCACAGACAAAATCACAAAGTGCTTCACATAGATCAAAACTAAATAAAACAAAGTCATAAAATCACAATGATCTTAAACAGAAATAGATTAAAAATAAAGTCATGAAATATGAAACAAATGAATCATGCTTCTTTTCCAACTGATCCTTTCCCTCATTTATATAAAAAAAAGTCAAGAGTAAATTGAGGGATCATGTTTCATCATGAAAACAGAAGGTGAAACAGGCCATGGGACGAGTGAAATAGCAGCTCCACCTTAAGTTTACATGATTGGGCGGGGCTGACTCTGATGCAGCTCCACCTTCTGATGCAGCTCCGCCTTTGTGGTTCTGCAGCGAGTACCACTTGAAAAAAAATGCTGCCGCCACTACAGCATAGCGCTGTGTCCTCGGACTGAGAAAGACACTATAAAAGTGCTGGTCAATTACTTATGAAACCACACTAACAAAATACACACACCTCACATCTTTCATGTCCATAAAGCTGTACATTCATTTAAGTAATAAATCAAAATGTGTACATTTCTTCAAAGCTAATTTAAAGACACTTCTATTAAACAAGAGGACGCTAAAATGACTAAAAATAACTGGAGGGGCAAGGAAATAAAATAACAGAGAAAAAAACATGAAGATCACAGGAACTGAAAGTCTAGGGGAAAAAAAAAGATAAACTAAGAAACGAAGAAAACTGAACACCAAGAACAAAATATATTTTTTCTCATTTTTTAACAGTAAAGTAGTGCACCATCTTCATTACAAACACAGCAGCTGCCAGGATAAATGTATACGCTCAAGAATCTCAAAATATAATCAACAACTATCAGAAAGCTACAATATTTTGTGCAAATTATTATCACAAAGAATGTTATCATATGTAAATAAATAAATAAATAACAAAAATAATAATTAACAAATTAAAAAGATGCAATTTGCAAATTAACCCTGATTGGAAGATTTCTACTTTGTTTTATTTTGTAAATCACAGTCATATTTTACAGTGAAATCCTTCTGGACTTTCTTGCTGCAGTCATCAATGACATCATCATATGAAATCTGACCCCCAACCTCATAGTTAATACTGATTATTGCCAGACCATTGATTGTTGATCGAAGATATGCTAAAGCTACGGTCACCGGTAGCGTTGAGCTTATACACAGAGCAATACACAGGTTTGGATATTATCATATACAGATGGATGTCATGTGAATAACGACTGAGACTCCTTTAAAGGAGTGCTGAAGAGGTGTGAATGCAGCACAAATTGTAGCCTGATATATTTTTTGGAATACATCATTCTTTCTATGAATAAAAAAGGACAGGATATTTATGAAAAAATATGTTACATGATCTTCACATTAATCAGAAAAAGACAACAGTGGAATAAATGTTGCTGTCAATATGAGCAGAATGCACTCACCTGAACAACCAGGTGCAGCAGTTAGTGGCAGGGAGGCTAGGGGGCTTGCCAGAGGAGCAGCATGCTCTAGTCCCATAAACATGTTGAGAACAAAAGAGAAAATAAATTTACTGGATATTTCATGACATAACATGATGTCGTTCTCACACAAGTAAAACTATTTTAATCATTACAAGTATTTACTGACACAGCAGACTCACCTGAGGAAAGCAGAGAAGCTGAGGTGCTTTGCTGATGCTGGACAGACGATTCAGCTGCAGGTTCTCCCAGATACTTTAAAAGTGAACCTAAAATGATTTAACAAACAAGCACATTTTCAGCATTGTTTAAATTAAACTGATTTCTCAAATGTAATTATTATTACATTACAAAGAGTTTTGACACTCACTTTAAATAAAATGTAACCAACATTCTCTAGCCCATTTTAACAGGCTAGAATCACCTAATAAACAAACAAACAAAATCTTGTTTATCTGCAACAAAGAATAGAGTGGACTGTAGCCATCGACCGCATATCTGGTATAATTACATGCACAAAGCTTAAAGTGTACACAGCTGTTATAGCTACTAAAATCCCTCTTTCTCCTCGTTTTTATTTAACAATAAAGACAGACATTTATGACTGGCTCTGTTCTACTGCCCTCAGGTGAATGTATGGCTATTCACCCTATGCAGCGAGCTTAACATAAAAGGACATGGTTCCAGGAACGACAGGACACATCGCTTTGTCTTTTTGTCTTTTTCTGAAGACCGTTTTTTCCTCTTTTAATTTGTAAGACTGTGAACATACAGTAAAATAACATGTAAGCATCAGTATTTACATATTTTGTAACCAAAAACAGGTTAGCAACATAGCTTTCCTTATGCTTTCATTCACCATCCTTATACATTCAAATAAGCTTTTAAGTAACATGAAAGTAACAAATTTTACAGAAAACAAAGCTACACGTTGATTACTTACAGATTATGGTTCAACAAACTCCCCGACGACGTAAACTGGGCTCAAAGTTGCGCGGGTTGTTTTCTGCTCCACGCATTCTCTCACACTGCCTGAGTGAACTTTTCCTGCTGCTTACAACACATCCCCAAAGGGGACAGTGTAGCGCACACCAAACAACCAAAGAAAAAGCAACAAACCTCAAGGGGTAATACTGCCCACTGGTGGGAAAACTGAGAAATGCCCCAGCCAAAGAAACTCAATAAAGCGACAACAGAGGGGGCAGTCCCCGCCTGACATCCGTGGAATGTCATTCTCAACTGGCACAAAACAAAGCAAGTAAAATACAGTGACACAAAGTTTCTGCTTTTAAGTACAATCCTTAGACACCAATAGCACAACCTCACTAATAGGCCTTATGTAACACCTGTGTTCGCCCTTGCAGAAAATCTTCACCTCTATTTTCCTTACAAGCCCATCCTCACTGGGAAAGATTTTGGTGATGAGTCCAAGTGGCCAGTTGTTCCTATGTTCGAGTGTCTCTTTTAAAAGAACAACATCTCCTGTTTGTAGGTTAGGCTTCACTGTTTTCCATTTGCGGCGGTCCTGAAGTCCCGAGATGTGTTCTTTTTTCCATTGTCTCCAGAAAGCATTAGCGAGGTATTGAACGGGCCTCCATTGAGCTTTGAACAGATCACTGTTTCCAAACTGACCTGGTGGGATTGGTGGGGTCGTAACCTTTTGCGTGAGCAGCATGGCAGGGGTCAGGATGACTGGGTTATCTGGATCTGCAGACACTGCTGTTAACGGACGAGCATTCACTATTGCAGTGACTTCAGCCATTAAGGTCACCAGTATTTCGTGGGTAAGTTTTGCATTCCTGTGTTCCAGGAGCATTGCATCAAGGATTTTGCGCGTGACCCTAATCATGCGCTCCCAGGAGCTAGCCATGTGCAACGCATGTGGGGGGTTGAAAAGCCCCTTGCAGCCAGAGTCCTCCAGAAAGCTATTTAGTTTGCTGTTGTAGCAGCCCTGTTTGTCTATATGCAGCTCTTTGCAGGCACTCACAAAATTTGTCCCACAATCGGACCTAAGAAGTTTGACTGCACCTCTGATAGCAAAAAAACGACGCAGGGCATTGATGAATGACGACGTGTCCATTGATTCTATAACTTCAATATGAATGGCCCGTGTGCTCATGCACATAAATATGACTTCCTATCGCTTTGCATCTGCTTGCCCACCACGCGTTTTTCTGACAGTGACAGGCCAGGGCCCGAACACATCAAGCCCTACATGTGTGAAGGGAGGGTCAGTGGACAGCCTATCCTCTGGTAGCTCAGCCATAATCTGTTCCTGCTGGCTTCCTCTTGGTTTTTGACAGGTCACAAAGCTGAATATCATTTTGCTTATTGCTTTTTTCCCTCCCACAATCCAAAAGCCTGCAGCTATAACTGCCCCTTCGGTAAAATGTCTGCCCTGATGGCATACTTTCACATGGAAGTGTCTTATAATGAGCTGGGACAGGTGGTGTTTAGATGGGACGAGGATAGGATTTGTTTCATCCGACGTCAACTGTGCTCGTCTTAGTCTCCCACCCACTCTGAGTATTCCATTTGTGTAAAGAAATGGGTTTAGTTTGCTAAGTGGGCTTGACCTTTGGAGGGGCATACTCTTCTCAAGCTGTCTTATGTCACCTGCATAGGCTTCTCTCTGGACGGTGCGAATGATAATGATCTTAGCTTGATCAAGCTGATTTTCAGTTAAATGCTCACTACAGCTGTGCCAGCCTTGACAGGAGCCTTCTATGTTCTGCTTAAAGGACTGAACAATGTGTCGGAGTTTAGATATAGCTTTCAGTAGTGCATTTCAAATTGAAAACCTTTCGAATCTGGCACTACTGAGAACATCTTTTGCAAGAGTGGTAACACAAGAAGTTACCTCATGACGCAGTTCGTTGTCAGTCTCTGGGTCTACAAGATCAAATTACTCTGCCTGAGATTGACCTGTTTCGGACTTGGCATGGAATGCGGGTCCACTGAGCCATGTGGAGGTAGAAAGCTGCTTCGCAGGTAATGCGCACGTGGCATGATCAGCAGGATTTAAGTGAGTGGGCACATAATGCCACTGGCGAGCTTGTGTAGATTGCCTGATGCGTTCCACTCTGTTGTGCACATAGACATAAAAACGCCTTGTTGTGTTGAAGATGTAACCAAGGACTACTTTGGAGTCTGAATAGAAGCTCACCTGATCCACTGCGATGTCCAGCTCGTCCACGACTAACTCTGCCACCTCGACAGCCAGGACCGCGGCACAGAGCTCAAGTCTGGGTAAGGTGATATCTGGTTTTGGAGCAAGCCGTGCCTTGCCAAGAAGGAAGCCCACTTCATTATGACCATCTCTGTCTGTGAGTTTAAGGTAGGCAACAGCAGCCACTGCCTTGGTAGAAGCATTGCAGAAAAAATGGATTTCCTTGGTTACTGTTGCAGAGAGTGGTATTGAGGTGAACATTCTGGGAATCTCAAGTTGTTGTAGATGTTTGAGGGAGTGTTTTCACTGTTGCCACTGCTGTAATTTGTCTTTAGGGAGTTCAGTGTCCCATTCACAAATGTCAGTGGAAATGTCTCTGAGTATGATCCTGCCCTCTACAGTGACAGGGACAGCAGAGCCAAGTGGGTCATACACACTATTAACGACTGACAATACTCCACGCTTAGTGAAGGGCTTCTCATTGATGGTTATCTGGAACCTGAACAAGTCTGTAGACAGGTCCCAGCCTAAGCCCAAGCTTCGCTGCATGGGTGTCTGTCCAAGGTCAAGGCCCTGCATGTCAGCCGCAAGGTCCTCACTTGGAAAAGCATTTGTGATGGTAGGACAGTTGGATGAAATTTTATGCAGGTGTATGTTACACTGAGCCAGCATCTTCTGAGCCCCACAGAGAATGTTGATGGCCTCATCAGCGGAAGGAAATGATTTTAGTTCATCATCCACATAAAAGTGGCGTTCAATGAACTCTCTTACATCATTACCGTGTTCTTTTTCTCCCTCCATCGCTGTTCGTTTCAGTCCATAAATGGCTACTGATGGGGAGGGGCAGTTCCCGAACACGTGGACTCTCATCCTGAATTCCTGTACCTCTCCATCCAGATCATGGTTTTTGAACCACAAGAAGCGAAGGTAGTTGCAATGGTCTTCTCTGACCACAAAATTGTAAAACATTTGCTCCACATCAGCCATGACTGCGTATGGGTCGGACTTGAAATGCATCAACACTCCCACGAGAGTATTATTGAGGTCTGGCCCTTTTAGTAGCACATAATTGAGAGAAACATTGTTGGATTGCGCACTTGAATCAAAAACCACCCTAATTTTTCCTGGCTTTTGAGGGTGGTAAATGCCAAAACTAGGGAGGTACCAGCATTCTTGTTCTGGAGTTAGAGCTGGAGCTGGTTCAGCGTGGACCTTGCTGAAAGTAATGTCTAAAAACTCAATGTACTGGTCTTTCATTTCAGGTTTCTTTTTCAGTGTTTTGCGGAGCGACATTAAGCGACTGAGGGCTTGGTCCCTATTGTTGGGTAAACGCTGTCCGGGGGAGCAGAATGGGAGTGGAGCTACCCAGTTGTTCGCCTCATCTTTAGTGAAGTCTCTGTGCATAATTTTCAGGAACAATGCATCTTCTACTGAAAGAGCCATTTTGTCATCATCTACTGTTTGCTGGAAAATGTGTCTTCCTAGTTCTGCTTGTGTCTTCTCGAATTTAGGACAGCTTTCTGTATATCTCTCTTTTATATAGATTTTGCTTCCACAGAGGCTAAGGTAAATAGGGTGCCCGTTATTCAGAATGTCTGTCTTGAAAGAGTTTACTGTGGGTTTGTGGGCACCTGAGAGACAGACATCACCTACAACCACCCATCCCAGATCGAGGCATTGGGCATAAGGTGCACTGTTTGGACCATTTACCTGACTGTGCACCTTGTGAGCTTGGATGATGTCCCGGCCCAAGAGGAGGCGAATGTCCGCGGCTGGGTCCAGAGGACTCCTCCCACACCTGGGCTTTTGCCTCTGTGACCACCCAGGCCACATTCGCTTGGACCGCTGGTACCCATCAGGTGCCTATTGAGTTGGGGCCAGTCCAATCCCTCTCACGGAAACTGCTTCTTAAGCCAGAGCCATGCATCAAGGCCAGTCTGAATATATTTAGTCAAAACATCTCAACCTCACACACCAACTCAGGCTCTCTCCCCACTAGAGAGGTGACATTCCACATGCCAAGAATCAGCTTCTGTAGCCGAGCATCAGACCACCAAAGTTCCTGCCTTTGGCTACCAACCGTCTCGCACCGCACCCGAGAATAGTTTTCCCCATCTGACACGTACACAGAACACATTTCCTGTGTACCAATACATGTGCTCTAACAGTTGATCAACTATAGGGGACTCATACAAACCTCAATTATCACTGAAAGTGCACATTAAGAATTTCATAAAAGTTAAACTACCTGCAAGAGGCTGCCACTTTTGGACCTGAGCCCATAAATTTTATTTAGACCCTGCATTCAGCCACTTTTACCCTATTCATAATAAGTGTGCGGCACATAACTCTCAAGGCTCTCACCCATGTTCCCGATTAGGTGCGTAAACATTTTTCTTAACACTTGAATGCCTCTAAAAATGATCAGAAGCTCAGATTCTATCTTCTGTGTGTTCTGACTCATCTTGACCACTATGTGACACGTTTAACTCACATTTCTTTTCAAATAACACTTCTGATTTCCAAAGTAAAGGTGGTTTAACATTCAGTTTGTATTCAGTTTCACCATCTTTGGGGACAAAAAGAGGCATAGACAGCTGAATAGCAAGCAGGGCTTTGCCTTTTGCTGTAACTCAGACAGCTCTTAGGGGTCAGCAGAAAACAGGACAACATTCAGATAATTAAGTCTGAAAATTAAGCAGTCAGTGCATGCAAACTCTGAAAATACCATAGTGTCTTGCAGATGGGTTCAGCAGCTCATTGTGCAGGGCTCATGGAGTCATTTCTATAACTTAGTGCATGCTTGTTTTGTTGCTGGCAGGCAGTGAGCAAATGTTGCAAATGTGCAAATTATGAATGCCAAATTAAATCAACACTGTGAGCACTAAGTGGATCCAACAAAGACAGTTTTTTTTGTTTGTTTTCTGGAAATGAAGGAAATAATTTCCTGGGATATTTACAATTCAGAGATGTGCTGCATTTTTAGTTGATGCGACATACCTCATAAATACAATCCCATCCAGGAATGAGGACAAATAAAGCAGATGCAGTGCTGAATAGTAAATTGGACTTTTTAAATGAAAAAGTAAATGAGGCTGAATAAAATGAAAACTCTCAGGCAATCTATAACATTTTACAGGGAGAGTGCAGAATTATTAGGCAAATGAGTATTTTGTCCACATCATCCTCTTCATGCATGTTGTCTTACTCCAAGCTGTATAGGCTCGAAAGCCTACTACCAATTAAGCATATTAGGTGATGTGCATCTCTGTAATGAGAAGGGGTGTGGTCTAATGACATCAACACCCTATATCAGCTGTGCATAATTATTAGGCAACTTCCTTTCCTTTGGCAAAATGGGTCAAAAGAAGGACTTGACAGGCTCAGAAAAGTCAAAAATAGTGAGATATCTTGCAGAGGGATGCAGCAGTCTTAAAATTGCAAAGCTTCTGAAGCGTGATCATCGAACAATCAAGCGTTTCGTTCAAAATAGTCAACAGGGTCGCAAGAAGCGTGTGGACAAACCAAGGCGCAAAATAACTGCCCATGAACTGAGAAAAGTCAAGCGTGCAGCTGCCAAGATGCCACTTGCCACCAGTTTGGCCATATTTCAGAGCTGCAACATCACTGGAGTGCCCAAAAGCACAAGGTGTGCAATACTCAGAGACATGGCCAAGGTAAGAAAGGCTGAAAGACGGCCACCACTGAACAAGCCACACAAGCTGAAATGTCAAGACTGGGCCAAGAATTATCTCAAGACTGATTTTCTAAGGTTTTATGGACTGATGAAATGAGAGTGAGTCTTGATGGGCCAGATGGATGGGCCCGTGGCTGGATTGGTAAAGGGGAGAGAGCTCCAGTCCGACTCAGACGCCAGCAAGGTGGAGGTGGAGTACTGGTTTGGGCTGGTATCATCAAAGATGAGCTTGTGGGGCCTTTTCGGGTTGAGGATGGAGTCAAGCTCAACTCCCAGTCCTACTGCCAGTTTCTGGAAGACACCTTCTTCAAGCAGTGGTACAGGAAGAAGTCTGCATCCTTCAAGAAAAACATGATTTTCATGCAGGACAATGCTCACACACGTCCAAGTATTCCACAGCATGGCTGGCAAGAAAGGGTATAATAGAAGAAAAACTAATGACATGGCCTCCTTGTTCACCTGATCTGAACCCCATTGAGAACCTGTGGTCCATCATCAAATGTGAGATTTACAAGGAGGGAAAACAGTACACCTCTCTGAACAGTGTCTGGGAGGCTGTGGTTGCTGCTGCACGCAATGTTGATGGTGAACAGATCAAAACACTGACAGAATCCATGGATGGCAGGCTTTTGAGTGTCCTTGCAATGAAAGGTGGCTATATTGGTCGCTGATTTGTTTAAGTATTGTTTTTGAATGTCAGAAATGTATATTTGGGAATGTGAAGATGTTATATTGGTTTTCACTGGTAAAAATAAATAATTGAAATGGATATATATTTGTTTTTTGTTAAGTTGCCTAATAATTATGCACAGTAATAGTCACCTGCACACTAGGGCCTGCACGACTTTATTTTTTTTTAAGTCGACAGTCAAGTAATGAAAGTCGAGTCGACTTCGACTAGTCATTGATGACGTCATACACCGGAAGCGGCGGTTGGTGACCGAAGAGCGCAGGAGCTCCCTCCTTTTGGAGACAAACGCTTGGTCACACTGCGTCATTTTTGATGCTTGGGTGTGAGAATGTGTAGCATAAACGCAGTAGACAGGACAGCTTTAGAACACTTAGGCTTTATTGTCAACCCTTATTGCAAATGCTGACAACAATCAGCTTCAAAAACATTCTTGAATGCAGAGCATAAAAGAGAACAAGCAGGCTTATTGCTGCTAATCAGTAACAATAATCATGTAACTCTTGTGTAACATGTCAAATTAAGTGCGCAAAATTAAAACTCCTAAAAAAAGTCCACAAAAAACGTATGTTTACTCGCTGCCGACAGTCTGCTTGGTCATTTGTTTTTGAACCTGGTTTGCGTGAAAGAAAATTAGTGCATCCACATGATCAGGATGAAGGCTCGCCCGCTGTCGGGTGATCGTATTCCCGGCAAGTGAAAAAATCTTCTCGCTCGGGGTACTGGTAGCTGGAACAGCCAAATAGCTTTTGCTTAGCTTTGCCAAACGGGGAAATCTAGCCTGGTTGCGGGACCACCACTGGAGCGGATTGTCCATGGTGGGAATGTGTGGTGTTGAAAAATAATCCCGGATTTCTTCAGCTGCAGTGGAGCAGTGAATTGATCTCCTGTCACTTTGATAATGCGGTCCAAAAAGTTGCACAAAGTCTTCCTTGAGTCTGGCTTTTTTCCCAGTCATCGGCTCAATTTGGACATCAGTTGTGTCCTCGGCTTGAGCTTCACCTAAAATGATAAGTTTAAAATTACCTATGCTGCATGCATCTGAATAATATGAGCGTATTATAGTTCAGTGGACCTACCTGTTGCTGCAGGCGGCTCTCCGTTTTGTAGCAGGACGTCCAGGTGTCTCTGGGCTTCCTCTCTTTTATTCTGCGGGATGAACTGAAGATGTTTGAAGCGAGGGTCTAACATGCAGGCAACTATCGGGATAGATTCGGTCAGATCCTCAGACCTCAGTTTGAAGCGCGTTTCCAGCTGTTGTCGGACCGTGTTTTTGAAAGTGCGTACAGCTGCCAGGTCAGACTCTTCAACACACAGAGTGCTGCTGATCATGTTGAAAATCACAGGATAAATGAAAGAGAGCCCAACGTGTAACTCGCCACACATTATTTCAGTAGCCTTTGCCAGAGGTTGCAGCACAGGAATCAGCTGTTCCACAAGCTCCCACTGGGAGGCTCTCATGGCAAGTGACTTCTGGACGCTTGACTTTGTGACCGCTTCATCTGCAAGTACGGACTGGACCGCGATCCTCTGCTCGAACAGCCGCTGGAGCATGACAAAAGTAGAATTCCACCGAACAGGACAGTCAGTCTGGAGTTTGTTGGATTTTACGCCAAGCTGTTCCTGACGCTGTTTCAGAGCGCAAGATGCAAGTGAAGAGTGGCGAAAGTGGCTGACAACTCTTCTTGCTGCGTCGACAGCTTTCACCACCTCAGGTAAAACTAATCCAGCTTTAATTGCCAGCTGCAGTGTGTGTCCGGTGCAGCCCAGATCATGTGGAAACATCTCGCATAGCTCCATGGCTAGATTCATGTTACTGGCATTATCGTGGACTGTGCAAAACACCTGTATTCCCCATTCACTGATTATTTTAGACAGCCGATCAGCAATGTTTACAGCCGTGTGCCTCTCTGGCATCATGGCGATACAGAGCACCCGGGCCTTCAGCTGCCATGAATCGGTAACGTAGTGAGCAGTTACCGTAATATACGGCTCCATGGTGGAAGATGTCCACAGATCAGTTGTTAGCGAAACACTCTGGCCTTTCATTTCTTCACCAATATTTTCACGCAGGTTATCATACTGGTGTGCAATGGCGTTCCACAGTGTGTTGTAGGATGGGACGTTGTAACCTCGTTCGAAAAAATTCAGTAGGTCTCTGAAGCCGTCTCCATGGACTGCAGCTAATGGTCTGATGTCTTTGACGGTAAAATTCACCAACAAATTGGTGATTTGCTGCCGTCGTCTTTCTGTTACAGCTGGACGTTTGGTGAAAGCGCTGATTGACTGCTGAACATGCGACTTGGGTTGTCCCTCCTCAGCTAGCATTAGCGGATTCCTTTTCAAATGCATGTGCATAGCACTTGTATTTTTGTTATATTTTAGAACGGACTTGCAGATTTTACATGTTACAGAATTAGAAGATTCATCTTTAGTGAAGTATTTCCACACAACTGAAACATTTCTGCTAGTTTGCTGCAATGACCCACCCGGCTTGTCACCTGCTGTGTTTTCCGCAGACTCCATTTTGTCGTTATCACGTGACAGCGACTAGTCGCTGAAAGGCATAAAAAGTCACTACAGAGCAGTGAAGTCGACTAGTCGACTAGTTCATACAACCCCTACTGCACACACAGATATCCCCCTAAAATAGCTAAAACTAAAAACAAACAAAAAAAACTACTTCCAAAAACATTCAGCTTTGATATTAATGAGTTGTTTGGGTACACTGAGAACATGGTTGTTATTCAATAATAAAATTATTCCTCAAAAATACAACTTGCCTAATAATTCTGCACTCCCTGTATGTAGCTTTCTGAAAAAACGTGCAACTTATGTTTGGTTTTGGCCTGCAATCACACTACGATAGATAGATAGATGATAGATAGATAGATAGATAGATAGATAGATAGATAGATAGATAGATAGATAGAGGTCCTTCTCAAAAATTAGCATATTGTGATGAAGTTCACTATTTTCTGTAATGTACTGATAAACATTAGACTTTCATATATATTAGATTCATTACACACAACTGAAGTAGTTCAAGCCTTTTATTGTTTCTAATATTGATGATTTTTGCATACAGCTCATGAAAACACAAAATTCCTATCTCAAAAAATTAGCATATCATGAAAAATGAGCTATTAATCTAATCATCTGAATCAACTAATTAACTCTAAACACCTGCAAAAGATTCCTGAGGCTTTTAAAAACTCCCAGCCTGGTTCATTACTCAAAACCGCAATCATGGGTAAGAATACAGACCTGACTACTGTCCAGAAGGCCATCATTGACACCCTCAAGCAAGAGGGTAAGACACAGAATGAAATTTCTGAACGAATAGGCTGTTCCCAGAGTGCTGTATGAAGGCACCTCAGTGGGAAGGAGAAAGTGTGGCGGAAAACGCTGCATAACGAGAAGAGGTGACCGGACCCTGAGGAAGATTGTGGAGAAGGACCGATTCCAGACCTTGGGAGACCTGCGGAAGCAGTGGACTGAGTCTGGAGTAGAAACATCCAGAGCCACCGTGTACAGGCGTGTGCAGGAAATGGGCTACAGGTGCCACATTCTCCAGGTCAAGTCACTTTTGAACCAGACACAGCGGCAGAAGCGCCTGACCTGGGCTACAGAGAAGCAGCACTGGACTGTTACTCAGTGGTCCAAAGTACTTTTTTCGGATGAAAGCAAATTTTGCATGTCATTCAGAAATCAAGGTGCCAGAGTCTGGAGGATGACTGGGCAGAAGGAACTGCCAAAATGCCTGAAGTCCAGTGTCAAGTACCCACAGTCAGTGATGGTCTGGGTTGCCATGTCAGCTGCTGGTGTTGGTCCACTGTGTTTTATCAAGGGCAGGGTCGATGCAGCTAGCTATCAGGAGATTTTGGAGCACTTCATGCTTCCATCTGCTGAAAAGCTTTATGGAGATGAATATTTCATTTTTCAGCACGACTTGGCACCTGCTCACAGTGCCAAAACCACTGGTAAATGGTTTACTGACCATGGTATTACTGTGCTCAGTTGGCCTGCCAACTCTCCTGACCTGAACCCCGTAGAGAATCTGTGGGATATTGTGAAGAGAAAGTTGAGAGACGCAAGACCTAAAACTCTGGATGACCTTAAGGCCGCTATCGAAGCATCCTGGGCCTCCATAACACCTCAGCAGTGCCACAGGCTGATTGCCTCCATGCCACGCTGCACTGAAGCAGTCATTTCTGCAAAAGGATTCCCGACCAAGTACTGAGTGTATAACTGAACATCATTATTTGAAGGTTGACTTTTTTTGTATTAAAAACACTTTTCTTTTATTGGTCGGATGAAATATGCAAATTTTTTGAGATAGGAATTTTGGGTTTTCATGAGCTGTACGCCAAAATCAGTGGCGGTTCGACATCGAATTACTCCCCGGGCGAGGCCCCCTTTGAGCGCCCCCCCCCCCCCCCCCCCCACACACACACACACACACACACCACCCCACCTGCACGAACACACGCATGTTTTCTACAAACAGGCATGTTTTATTAGAACGACTATTGAACATTCATTTTTCTAAGTTGCACATATTTACATTAATTACTATGAAGTTGTCAGAATGTAAAGCACTATACATTATATACTGTATCAAAATATATAGAATCAAATATACAAAAACAAACAATAACTAAATATTAAGAATATATGAACATAATAGATAATAAATATTCTAAATAGCAAAAATATTTCACACATAACAAACTAAAGATAATCACTACAGCATTGCACTTAGAATAGAAAACACAAACTAAAATTAAAACCTAACCTTGATGCAACGTCATCAATAATGTCATCATATGAAATCTGCTCCCCTACTGAGTGATTGATACTAATCAGAGCCAGGTTAGTGAGCTGCCCCTGAAACATAGTTGACCTCAGGTATGACTTGATCAAGTTTGAAAAGCTCCTCTCAGCTTGAGCCACAGTGACTGGCAGAGCAGTCCAAAAGTTGGGGTAGATCTCCAATAGATCTCATGATCCATAATATTTTAGAATTGCCTCTGAAATTGTAATTTAAACTGACATAAAAAACTGTAGACTACCAAAAATGCCAACTTTTACAGAACAAATCATGTAAAAAATAATCAGTGCAGCCATCTGCAATAAACAAACAGGATAGTTAGTGGTGACTGGGGTGTTTTCTTCTGCTTGTAGAGTTGTTTTATTTATTATTATGTGAACATGATCAACATGTGTTTGTTGTTGTTCAGGCAGGCCACAGACTGCAGTGAGTATTTAACAAATCCTAGTTTGAATCAGTAAAAAACGATTCAAGGACTTTTTTCAAACCATTTGAATATTCGTTTCGATATTTCAGCCCTATTAGCTCTGTTAGCAATTAGTTGACCGCATTTAACCGTTAAAATCCCAGTTAACTGGTTCAAAAAATTGAAAACATGCATCATGAGAGCTACATACCTTTATCTTTCTCCTCTTTTTTCTTTTTTTTCCCCCCTGAATGGGGCACCTGGTGGTTTTAGCCTTTTTATGTTCATCTCTTCTGTTTGGCTCCTGACTCAGTAAGTTTCCTTTAGTCAGGACTAAACAATTTGACCTTGATGGAGGGGGGGGGGGGGAGGGGGGTGACCACAAAATCGTTTTGTTTTTCCTTTTTTTATTCGGCCATTTCACACAATTCAGAGAAACCTGAAAGAATGATAGGCCTGTGTTTATGATATTATGAATGAAAAATGGAAGAACGTTAAGATGTGATTGACTTTAGCCATGTTAATACAGTTGATTCAGCCCCTGCACACTCATTTCATTTGGGAAAGACGCAGAGGTGAATTCCCCCGCCGCACCCCTCCCCATCCTGTTCTTCATAGACACACGGTGCACGGGAACGTTCTCAGTCAGCAGGAGCGCCTGCAGCTGCACGGGGCGCCAACTTGCTGTTTCCAATCCAGACACTGTCATATGACAGATAATAGAAAACCTCGGTGCTGCGCAGATTTCTTTTTTTTTTTTTTTTACTCCGCGCTTGTGCGCCCCTTTTGTGTCATGAAAAAATGCCGCCCCGGGCAACTGCCCTGTCTGCCCGTGCCTAAAACCGCTACTAGCCAAAATAATCAATATTAGAAAAAATTAAAGGCTTGAACTACTTCAGTCGTGTGTAATGAATCTAATATATATGAAATGGTATATGGTAAATGGCCTGCATTTGATATACAGGTGCTGGCCAGTAAATTAGAATATCATCAAAAGGTTGAAAATATTTCAGTAATTCCATTCAAAACGTGAAACTTGTACATTATATTCATGCAATGCACACAGACCAATGTATTTCCAATGTTCATTACATTTAAATTTGATATTCATAAGTGACAACTAATGAAAACTCCAAATTTGGTATCTCAAAAAATTAGAATATTCTGAAAAGGCTGAATATAGAAGACACCTGCTGCCACTCTAATCAGCTGATTTACTCAAAACACCTGCAAAGGCCTTTAAAAGGTCCCTCAGTCTTGTTTTGAAGGCACCACAATCATGGGGAAGACTTCTGACTTAACAGCTGTCCAAAAGACAATCATTGACACCTTGCACAAGGAGGGCAAGACACAAAAGGTGATTGCTAAAGAAGCTGGCTGTTCGCAGAGCTCTGTGTCCAAGCACATTAACAGACAGGCGAAGGGACGGAAAAAATGTGGTAGAAAAAAGTGTACAAGCTCTAGGGATAACCGCACCCTGCAGAGAATTGTGACGACAAACCCATTCAAAAATGTGGGGGAGATCCACAAAGAGTGGACTGCAGCTGGAGTCAGCGCTTCAAGAACCACCACGAGGAGACTCATGAAAGACATGGGATTCAGGTGTCGCATTCCGTGTGTCAAGCCACTCTTGAACAAGAAACAGCGCAAGAAGCGTCTCGCCTGGGCCAAGGACAAAAAGGACTGGACTGATGCTGAGTGGTCCAAAGTTATGTTTTCTGATGAAAGCAAGTTCTGCATTTCCTTTGGAAATCAAGGACCCAGAGTCTGGAGGAAGAGCGGAGAAGCACAGAATCCACGTTGCATGAGGTCCAGTGTAAAGTTTCCACCGTCAGTGATGGTGTGGGGTGCCATGTCATCTGCCGGTGTTGGCCCACTCTGTTTCCTGAGGTCCAGGGTCAATGCAGCCGTCTACCAGGAAGTTTTAGAGCACTTCATGCTTCCTGCTGCTGACCAACTTTATGGGGATGCAGACTTCACCTTTCAACAGGACTTGGCACCTGCACACAGTGCCAAAACCACCAGCACCTGGTTCAAGGACCATGGTATCCCTGTCCTTGATTGGCCAGCAAACTCGCCTGGGTATGGGGTATTGTGAAGCGGAGGATGCAATACGCTAGACCCAACAATGCAGAGGAGCTGAAGACGACTATCAGAGCAACCTGGGCTCTCATAACACCTGAGCAGTGCCACAGACTGATCGAGTCCATGCCACGCCGCATTACTGCAGTTATTGAGGCAAAAGGAGCCCCGACTAAGTATTGAGTGCTAACATGCACATTCTTT